CTCTCCCCTTGTTATTCCTCTTATCATTATTATTGGTAGCAGTAGTGGTTTGTATTATACCTTAGTTACTGAACTGCTCTTATCTCAACCCATGGTAGTTATATTCCTCCGATTCTCCTCCCCATTCCTCCGGGAGCAGGGGGAGGAAGAAGAGGGGGGGCGTGAGCAAGCGGCTGCGTGGTTCTGGGTTGCCGGCTGGGCTTGAACCATGACAAAGGCACCCAAATTTACCTCCCTCAAAACTGTTTTAGCTTGGTAAGAGACCTGCAAACTTTATAGTTTGGGATGGGCATTTTTTTTGTTTTGTTCTGAGGAATTCCAGCCTATGATATGCAGAAGCTAAATGGAGGGTATCCCCAAATCAGGGTTTCCAGCTGAAGCAGAAAGGCCAGCTAGGACCTGCTGTCCTACACCAGAGGAAGAGGGAGGTGACCTGAGGTTGACAGAGGATGGTGGGGAAGTAGTAAAAAACTACTTACCACCGTAGAGTCAATTTTTGGTCCTCCATCATCAGCCACCACCGTCAAGGTGTAGAAATCCCCTTTCTCTCGATCCACGAGGCCTTTGACTGTGATCACACCCTGCCAAGGATGAACAGCAATTGTGTCAGCCACCAACACTGAAGTTCATGGTGGACAACCAAGGAAAGAGGGCCCATGCTGTAGCTACTTACAGTGATCCCATTGATTTTGAAGAGGGAGAGCGCCTGGGCATTGGTGTTGGGGTCAAACTTGTAGGTGATCTGGTTGAGGTTGTCAATAGAGCGGGCATGGACCTGCAGCACCTCAGAGCCTAGGGGGATGTTCTCCATGATCACAGCCTCGTAGCTACTGTTAGAGAACTGCACAGCCTCATCCAGCTCATTCAGCAGGCTGACGTACACGCTGCAGAAGCCCTGGTTGTAGGGGGGTGCTTGGTCTGTGGCAGACACATTCATCAGGTAGCTGGTTTTGGTCTCGTAGTCCAGGTACTCAATCGTTGTGATGAGACCAGTGCTCTCATCAATCTCAAACTTTCCTTCTGCCCCTGACAGGATTCTGTAGTTCACCAGACCGCCGTTCCCTGGGACAGAGCAGGAACCATGGCGCCAGGTGGATCAAACATCCTGAAGAGGTGGGCACCACTGACACCGACCCCAATCATGGAGCAGAGCCCATCCCATGTTAGGATTTCAACCCAGCCAAGCCAGGATCCATGAAATGGTTGATTCCACCACTTCCCCACCAAGTGGGGTATCTCTCACCCCCAGCTTCCTACCTGTGTCTCGGTCGGTGGCCCGGACCACTGCCACCGAAGTCCCTATCCCTGCTGTCTCCCGCAGCCCCAGGCGATTGTACTGCCGCTGGGTGAACACCGGCACTTCATCATTGACATCTTCCACATAGATGATCACCTGTGAAACCCCCCAGTGAAACCATGGGTGAGCAAGGAAGGCTTGTGAACCTTTGCCAACCCATGGCACTCACCTGCTGCACAGCAGAATCATTATCTCTAGTACGAACACCATGTAATGGAGAGTGAACACACAGTTTAACGCCATAGATTTAATCAAGCCCTGTGGTTAGGAGTGGTTCAGTACTTCCCTGGCTGGAGGGAGATACAGTCTGTATATTAATTTCAGTGTGCTTTAGGATCTCCTGCTCATAACCTTGCAGTTAAAGACTCTGCAATGTAGAAATGATGGTAACTTGGTGGGAAATTT